AGGGAGTTTAAAGGGCGGTTGTCGTCGCGCCACGCATGAACAAATGAACAAAGATAACGACTTTGACTGTTGCGCAGTACAAATTGCTAGGCTAACAAGATTTAACTTGGTAAATTCTTTTAGAGATTGATAGGTATCGAAGGAGTCATCGGCGGTAATTGGTGAACGTTGTACCCTGGTCAAAAGTCGTATCCTTGATTGTCATTACAAGAGCGCATTGGACTGTGGGAAAATCAATGTTTATAAATGCAAATGTCGCACATTCAGACGTATGTGCATTGCTGGGAAAAAAATGCTAAATTTAGAAATTATTATACGTATATTTAATTCAAAGCGCAGGTCATACTGCTGTTGTTTATATCAAAACATCGTTATTATGTCACAATGCAGTTTTATATGTTACTACAGTTATTAAAATGTAATATCAAATCAATGTTTGCAAACTTCTCTAAAATTGAGTGTTTTAGCTGAGTGTGTGTCCCCCCCCCAAAAAAAAATTGTCTAGTGATCCAACGTGTTTTCATTTTCTATATTCATGTAGCTTAACTTTTGGAATGGTTCAGTGCTAGGACTATGTAAACTTGGCTGGATCATGGAGGTAAAATGAGATTTGGCTGGATATACAAAGAGACCGAACCCCTCTATCTTCAGGCTCAGCCAACATACATGAAGACAATGCGACCAAAGTATGAATGGCGCCGCCACGCAATAAAAATTGTCAGAACGGTCTGAATGTAGGTGCCCCATGTACATTTTGAACCTCATACTACTATCGAGTGGACGAATATGAATGGAGACGCCGCATACAACCACGTAAAAGGGATCGACAAGGGGTATTTACGTAAGCTGTGATCAATTGTTTTTATTTTCGTAATAATGTAATTTAAATAAATAAAAAAAAACGCAAAGATGTAAAATTTAATCAGCTATTTTATTCGTCCGTAATTTGTACAAAGATCTTATTTTTTGTAAGCGTATAACGCAATTTCCAATTTTGATTCTTAAACACAAATCATTTATCAAGTATATTAAAAAATGTAATTAGGAATTTGTTTTATGTGTAATGTGTAAAAGCTATTTGTATACGGTAAATGGAGCTTTTCTTTTTATTTCCTGTAAAAACGTAAAATGCATTATTTTTATTTCCTGTAACCTGTACTACTACTACTACCGTATAACTACCCCCTTGCCCCCCCCCCCCCGTAACGCACACGAACACACCAATTGCATGTTGAAGGTAGCTGCATAATGTTACATAAAGAAAGCGGGGGTCCGAAATAAACGCCTCAACCACCACATTACACACACGAACACACCAACTGTATATTGGAGCTAGTTGCCGATAGAAACCCCCACTCAACTCCAATAGACTGAAAATCTTATTTTGATGGAACGCCCTCACCGACAAATTCGCAAAAGGCGATGTAATGCATCATGGACACACGTATAGAAGTACTAGCCCGTATGAAACGCTCTTCCAAATAAACAAGAGCACGGGGTCTAGTATAATAGTATATTTATATCCTACATATGGTAGCCAGTAAGATGTTGTGTATACACTTACTAAAAGCAAACTCAAACAGCGCCAGGCGATAGAGAAATCTCCGTGGGTCAAGACGATGTCCGAGTTTGGCCTTTTGGTGAAAACCCCATGAAATATTGTCGAGTCGTTCACTGAAAAAATGAAATGTATTATTAGATTTTTTTAATTAATTGGTATGTGAGAAAACATCCTCACACAAATATTGGCATGGCAAATTCACCGGTTAGAATTTGGCGTATTTAGGTGTAAGGCATCAGAAACTCTGGGAGAGGGGGGGGGGTAGAACTAAATTGGAATTAGTTTCAGTCAGTATTTCTTCATGGTTTAAAAAAAAAAAATTACCATCTGTGAATGTCTAGCTGCATACTTGATAATAGGTTTCAGTAAATATATAATCAAGTTGGATGTTATTCCATGTCATCTACGTGAGATTGAAGTAAACACTGTCTCACTGTTAGGATTTGTGTTTGAACCACGTAGTTGTCCGCTCCCTGAATGTGACGTCACTTGAGTAAACCACAGGTGAAGTAGATTTTAATTAAAGCTTGAGTGATATCCGAAAATAAGACTGACTGGACCACTTGAATGGAAAATTGCCATGTATCGCTTTAGATGGGTTGCTATGGAAATTGGTGCATAGGCGCTTTGTACGCGTAAATTGTGGTATCTGGCCTTTAGTGCAATTGATCGCATTAAACTCTGTAAACACCATCAAAATACCCCATCAACCATGAATGAAGATATATCCAAATGAAACCGCGGCCACGTGACTGTCACAGCAAAATTAAAATAGTACCAGATTTTTTTGTTGATTGAAATGTTGGGATATTTTGTGTGGATGAAAATTCGAATTCGTGTCAAAAGAGTTTTCGCTGATGCAATCGAATCGAAGTATTTTCTTCGCTACCATGGCCGCGGCGGCTTCTGGCAATGCGCGAAGGTCACGTGACCGGTCTCAATTACCTGTGTCTTCCGCCCCAACGACCCTTCAGAAGTGGCTTTAATGAAGTGATATTATCGTCAGTAATGAATACGACAGCCTTGTTGACTGGTTATTCAACTTGTATCATCTATTTCCCACCTTATGTGGCCTTCTGATCCCCGTGCTGGTTAGCTGTCACGCTACTACCGTGAACGCCCGACACAGAGCTAACAGCGATGGCGGTGAGGGCGCGCGTGAGTATCAAATTTCCGGTCTCATGTGAAAACTTCTGCTAACTTCGAAGCGAAAATAAAGCTATTAGTCAAAACAGTTTCGGGGTTTGCTGTCCAGCAGTCTGACGTCTAGCTGGTATTTTATTTCTAATAGAAACATTATTTTATTAACTTTCTCCGGTTCTTTTATTCATCTATCGCCCCAACTCCACATTGTCACTCAGTATTTCAAAACATTCGATACCTCGTGATAAAAACGTTAATTGTAAAAAGGTAGTGCCAATGACGGCGTTTTCATTTGAAAGAACACTAAATAGCTTTGGGCGAATGAACGTAGTTAAGGCATCGTCAGGTAAGCGTGCGGTAATGGGAAACAGTTACTGTTTTAAGAAGACAGACATCAGAGAGTGCCGCTTCACGCACATGTCACTTAGCTTTGTAGCTGCTCAACCAGTTAGAAAATAGACTGATCCCTAACACCGCTTTGCCTATCACAGCCGTCTATACTATCCCCTGCGCACTCAGCACAATTTAATGTAATACTTGCGTTTAGAATGGGAAACGTTTTCGAGTGGCATTAATATCGCATGCTTGCACCGAACAAGCCAGCAACTGTGGTGTGTCCAGTTAGTTGCTAATTTCTTATAAAAACAGAATACAAGTGTCGCTGTACGCTGATGCCGGTATACTGAGCCCGCCACGAACACCGACTGTCCGGTACCAGATGTCGCACGCAAGCTACACCGCCCTCGACTCTGAGTGCGCGAAGTGGGTAAGGAAAAGTCGAATTAGGAAATAGAGCAAAAATAGCTGCGAGCAAAGTACCAATAATTTGAATGCCGTAATTAGCTTGCGTCTACATTTACCCTAGTTTTACAGCCAAGTGGCGCTACGTCGATTCGCAAATGTACAAAATATGATATCAATTTCTAACAGAAACTTATAAAGTCATATATCCCCAATTAACACGCAATCAAGTATTGCCCCTAGGATGCGAATCATAGGTAATTCTCACGAAACAAAATGAACTCCCAATCTAAGTTCCTCCCACTCAAATTTCGTTACTGTCGCGCATGGGTTCACAGCCTAATAGAGTCCCGTGTTACCGGGTCTGTTTATATCGGCAATCTTACTGCAATATACTTTCATCACGCAATGTACTTCGTACAGTGTTAGTTCCGTTAAAAGCCACAGTGTTTTTCTTGGAGACGGGTAGTATATGCGGTAAGGTTGGTTATGTGACTGAAATCGGACCTTTTCGCCGTTGAAATATAAATGTAATTGTAGATACAATTGTCGATCGACGTGATAGATGTTCCGCTGATTTATACAAAAGGGGTGGGAAAATATAGTTCCCCAAATTTCGCTTTCAAGTGTCCGTAACACGACACGTGCGAATAATGAAGGTCACAAACGGGCGATCTTTTTCAAGGTTGTCGTATAACAGCGGAGTGGGGGATCTGATGAAAGTATAGACAATTAGTTCGGCGTACAGATAGGTAGCAGTTACAGCTATCAAAAGAATCGTTATACCTTAATCCATGTCCTATCTAAAGTTGAAAAGAAGGCATTGTCATTCACAATAGAGCTAGTGATTAACTTTAGATTGGAAGACATTGTGGTCGAGGTCTGGTATTCACGCCGTGTCCGTGCTTTAGAAATAAAAGATTGCAAGATTGGTGCGAACGTGCACTGGCGGGGATTTGGGACATACACTAAACAGTAAACCCCGGATAATCTTTAAATTTACTTGTTTCAGAACGCCCAAGCGAAGTACGTATAAACATTCAATATACAACCAAGGAAACATCCTTTCTCGCCAGTGCACTGACCAGAAGCCTGAGAGGGCGCTCGGAAAAACAAGCACATTTGTAGGATTAGAAATCTCCTGCATTGTTTGTTATTTTGGTTTCGGGCCCCTTTTTATAGCTATCCACGTGCCGTTGAGATTAAAACAACTATTTTAATAGTGTACGAGAGAGCATTAAATCGAACAAAACTCGGCTGTGTCGTTTAGACTGGTAGAGCGTCTCATTTTAAAAACAGGACGCCCATGGAGGGAATGAAACGTAATGGTCTTGATGTATTTGGCTACTGACAGACATGCTAATATCTAGAACTTAGACGCAAATATACATGTAAATATAAAGAAAAATAATGCAATTAATGTCGTGATTTGTTTGGCTGATTATCGCTATTTTCCGTTACGGTGGTGGATCCCCACTGAATACTAAAAGACAATATCGAATAATATTTTTCTAGATTAAATATTTAATGACAAACTATTGAATTCGTACAAAGACTGATCATGTGCTCTGGTCTAAATGAACTCCTTCACCTCATTACTACACTACGTGAAAGAATGAAGAAGAAAATACACGGGCTGCGTGAGATCACCAGCGGAGCGAGTTTACATCCGATGGGGCCCGGTAACGCCGAGTTGATCACAGCCAACCCGACAACTCACATCACGAAGTGCCAACGTTGGGGTTGCATATGTTACAATGGAATGCGTTACTTCCCTTCATATAAGAGGGTTGGGTGGATAGATGGATGGATAGTTGGTTGGTTGGTTGGGTACTGGTTTAGAGGCGATAGTATTCCAAGCGTGGGGTAGTAAGTTAATGACGTCAATTACGATTCATTCTTGCATATCGTCATCAGGCGTAGAGCTTGTGCATGTTGTTGAATGATTGTACAGACCCTGTGCCATTAATTGTAATGCCAAAGTATTCCTTGCGCCGGTGGATTTTTTAATCTTGGCACGTTTGTTCTGAAACCAGATTTTTATCTGAGATTCGTTGAGTTTCAATTCTTTGGCCAACGACTGCCTTCTTTGCTCCGTCAAGTAGCGACTATCGTCGAACTCTCTTTTCAGTCGTTCGAGCTGCTCCGCCGTGAACGCCGTACGGGGTCGTTTCTCGTCACTAGGCTTTTCTTTACTTTTCGGGCGACGTGATCTCGGACCTGGAATAGAAAATTACCAGAAAAAAAGCTCATTTAGTATTCATACATTTTATATCGACGTGGTCTGTTAAACACTGCTATATATGTGTATTTTAGTGCGCGGTGAGTCACGTGACCTTTCACACACATATTATTATTTTTTGAAATTTCAGGAATACAAATGAAGGGTGTTCTAGTACTTTGTGTGCTCGGTCAGAAATTACCAGATATTCTCACTCAAGTGATATGGATTAGTTTCTATGTGGCTTAGAACAATCTCCTTATTGAAGTCAAACAAGGGTAATAAAATCACATTGCTCAGGTACATGTGTACCAGGTGCCTTATTAGTTCAATGATACATGTATTTGGATCACTGTTGTCTGGTACATGTGTACCAGGTGCCTTATTAGTTCAATGATACATGTATTTGGATCACTGTTGTCTGGTACATGTGTACCAGGTGCCTTATTAGTTCAATGATACATGTATTTGGATCACTGTTGTCTGGTACATGTGTACCAGGTGCCTTATTAGTTCAATGATACATGTATTTGGATCACTGTTGTCTGGTATATGTGTACCAGGTGCCTCATTAGTTCAATGATACATGTATTTGGATCACTGTTGTCTGGTACATGTGTACCAGGTGCCTTATTAGTTCAATGATACATATATTTGGATCACTGTTGTCTGGTAAAACTGTATCTGGTGCCTTATTAGTTCAATGATACATGTATTTGGATCACTATTGTCTGGTAAAAGTGTATCTGGTCCCTTATTATCAATGGTACATATATTTGGATCACTATTGTCTGGTAAAAGTGTATCTGGTCCCTTATTAGTTCAATGGTACATTATATTTGGATCACTATTGTCTGGTAAAACTGTATCTGGTCCCTTATTAGTTCAATGATACATGTATTTGGATCTATTGTCCTGGTAAAAGTGTA